CCTTAATTGGATTAATTATATCTATTACAACCAACAGCGCTTCGTGAACTATACCAGGGATGCCCTCCAGGGCTTGGCCGAGCAATTACAGGCCACATCCCAAATGACCTTCCAGAACAGACTGGCCTTAGACATGATCTTAGCCGAAAAAGGGGGGTCTGTAAAATACTTCCCGACACTATGACTTGTTGCACTTACATTCCAGAAAACACAGGTCCTAATGGTAAAGTCACTCTGGCCATAGCTAAATTAAATAGACTCTCAGAAGAGTTAAAGAGAAACTCTGGAGTTACTGATCCCTGGGAAAAATGGTTTGGTTGGATGACTGGTTGGCAGAGAGCTTTAGTCCAGATTGGTATTGCCTTACTAATTTTTCTTTTTATTCTCGCTCTTCTCATTTGTTGTGTCCTCCCATGCCTAAGGAAATTCCTGCAGAAAACTGTAGACCAAGCAACACCAACCTTCACTCATCTGACAATCGATGATCAAGACCTCATCTCACCCTGTATTCCGCTACAAACTCTCCCTTATACTGATGAAGTGCAGAAAGTCTAGGAAGGGACAGTACAGGGACAGCGTCCGTCTTTATGGGTAGACTGCCGTACGGAGAAGTAGTGGATAAGCCACTATGGGTTACCAGCGGAGTGAAGAGTGTTCCTGAACCGTACTGACGGATGTGCTGCAGCCTGTTAGGGTCAAGAGAGGGATAGACTTGCACTTTGCATTAACACTAAGTCAGCGGTCATGGGGTTTCTGTGTCTTTGGGCTAATACTTCTTCTGATACTAACAAATAAAGTTTTGTCTTTTAGCAAATAACATTTTAGGGGGGACTGTTGTAGAATTATTAGGCCTCTATGAATCTGTAAGGCCCCTTTAAATCCTCTTGCTATACCTCTAAGAGGCCCCCATAGTTTTACAAGAAAGCTTTGTCTATAGAACATAGAATTTGCATGTCAGCAAGAAATAGCTTTGATAAAATGTGTATTTACTAAAAGCCTTGAAACTTAACCTTGAGAAACTAACAAGTGCCAGCTACGCTCTAAATGGATAGCTGCCAAAAGGCCCCTCCCGTCGAGTGAACTCCTCATGTTAGCAAAATGGCGCTAAAACCTGTAGGAGTTAAGAAATTACGTAGATAGTGACCTAAGAATGGGGAGGGCATTTTACTAACATCTTAGCACCTAAGCCAATTAACAATGTCTATTTGTCTATATCTTGATTTTCTTCAATGATGTAATAATGCCTTTATAAGGGTCTGCGCACCCATTTTCTGTCAGAAGCCATTAAACTTCTCTGAAGTTCTTTCATTACCCTGAACTTTGTGTCTCAGTGTGAATTTACTTCTGCGTGCACGCAACTTTATTATCTTTAATTTGGACAGGAACAGATAGTCATTCAAACTAATTGGTTTGCAGTAAATTATATACGACACAATCTATCTATTAGATGCAAATCTCATATAGGAGATTACTTAACTTAGCTTGTTCATACAACTCATTAAATGTAAAAATGTGCAAGTTTTAACGCATAACTTACCTATGTTCAAATAATAATGCGCTTGTGGAAGCTGTTGTGGCTATACAAGCACTGCTGTAAACCCATGCACAACAAAAATAAAGAATTAAAAAAAAAAAAAAATCAACCAAACAGTCAGCATGTCTTCCCTGCTACATCACTACCCCGCTATCAACTGATGACATCACATATACTGCGTTGCATGGCTCCCTATTACATCACTACCTGCTATCGCCTGCTGGTGTCACACACACACTGCTCTGCATGACTCCCCATTACATCACTACCTGTTATCACTATAACCTCTAAAGTACGTCCATAAGCTTGTGTGCTTTAAAAGACTGGAGTGTCAGATATGGGCGTCCTACATTTACCTGTAGTCTCTAAGAAGTGAAAGCAGATATTGTACCTGGCAGTAACTGTAGCGGAGCTGCAATATTAAATTCCACGATCTCCGCTGGTACAGAAGGTAATCCACAGTCAAGCGCTGAAAAGTAAGGCAATATCCCAAATCCCCCAGTAACCGGACGAAACACAGTTCTGGAAGTCAACTGAGGTTTTTATTCACAGCTCCAGTATTTATGCAAGTCCCCATGCAAGGGGTTTCCCTACTGACATAGCAGGGGTAATACAGTAGGGGACTTAACAATCCGTACATTTCTCCCATCAAGCACTGCTGGACGAGAGGGATACTCCCACTGGAATATACCGTTAAGTGGATTATCCCTACTTGCAGCAGAACCGGCATTTTACATTTAAATACATAACTTTAGCAATATTCAGGTTATTTAAACGAATGGACATTCGGTAGATAGCTGGGGTCTGAGTGCACATTTCGTGGGATTACCGCTCAGATCCCAGCTAAAACAACCAAACACCGCACGAAATACACTTTGCCATTGAGTTCGCCCAAAAATACCGAACACCGATGGGGAACCACAATAACGAAAGACCGGAGCTCCCGAATGGCCTGGAAGTCCAGCGGTGTTCGCGCCGTCGAGTAGCCGTTTTCAGTTCCACGCGCTCGACGACCAAACACCGCTGGTGAAACAAAGGATCCAAGATGGCCGACCGCCGCGTGGTCGGTAGCCGAACGACGGCCACCTAGGAAAGTCTTTAACTACTGATTGCAACAATGTTGCAATGGGTTAATGAGGCCACACATCCCTCTATGTGTGGGCTATTAGGGGGTAGCTCATTCGGTTCACGAACAGCCAGTAAAGTCGCTGTTCGTGAAACGAAATACATGAATGCTAGCGGCTTTCAGCTGCTAGCATAGAAATTCTATGCACATAACAGTATAGACCAATGTAACACATATATTACAGCGGTTATTACAGACAACCTTTTGATACAGATAGTCCAGCATCCTACTAGTGGCTAGGTTTGCCACAGTAACGACAGCAGAACAAGATGACTGCTCGGCACAGTTATCTACAGACATTAGATGAACTCATGTTAACCTCAGGCTAAGGAAAGTACGTCTAAAGAGTGAGTTCACCAAAAGGATGATCTACTAGCTATGGGGTAGGCAACCTTTTAGTAGTACTGTGCCATGTCCTTTGGTGTGCTGGTCCTATTTTTTTTAATTGCGGTGTGTATGTTACCATAATCTGCTTGTGTTATTTATGGGTGCTGCAGTTTGTAACGTTGTGTTTGTGAGCATGTGGGCTGTTATATTGTATATGTATATGAGTAGTTTGTGGTATTGTGTATGATAGCTCTGAATGTGGACTGTAAATTGCGTGTGTGGATCTGTTTGTTGGTGTGTATATGTGTGGGCGGATTGTGGTATTGCATGGGAGGCTGCTTGTGGGGTTGTGTGTATGTATATATATATATATATATATATATTTATTTATTTATTGTCAGTGGTGAATTTGTGTGGGCAGTTTGTATTATTTCTATAAGGGGGAGGCTTATTCTGCAGCTCTGTGTAGCAGCATGGTTGGCTTGCCTAGGTCCCAGTGGGCGCCGGGCTGGCTAGGTACAGGTCAAGGACAAGAGCTGAGATATGTGCTGCGGCCTGCTCTACTCCAGTATGGATTCCTGTTCCTAAAATCAGGGAGTAAATTAACTGGGGTCACATCCGTTAGGAGCTGCAATCTGTAAATGAGCATTGTCTCTCAGCATCTGCAATCACTGCTCAGTTTGCACTAGCAGATATCGGAAGTCCTGGGACTCCTGACAGCCGGAGCCTGTTTCACTGCAAAGGTATCTCGAATGCCATAGCTTGCTGACCCCTGTACGAGCTGCATAATAACCCTGACTGTACAATGACACAATTGGTCATCTCACTTCCACCAAGAGCCGCTGCCAGAAACCATTGTAACTTACACAAGACGTAACTTAGGCAGGACAGAGGCCCGCGCTGGGTGGGGGCAGGCTGTGTCTATGCTCTAGAGTGAAAGATATATAGTCACTATTCTGGCCAGACACACAAGTCATCTCTACATTGAACAGAAGGAGACATCAACATCATTGTGGCTGGAAAAGGCATACATTATCACTGTACAGATGTCACAGCAATCTGTGTTAGATTATTTATGGCTGTATGTGTCACCAGATTGGTAAACTCAATGTAACTTGTAACGGCACCCCCAGGCATAAAAGGGTTAAACCGCCGTTTAATAGATCTTCCCCTTCCAGAGATACAGACACAGCTACTGCAGAACACCAAACTCCCGAACCGCATATAAGGGAATGCTCCAAACTCCCGAACTGCATACAAAATAGCACTCCAAACTCCCGAACTGGAACCTCACGAATAGCTGCTAGCAGACGAATAGGAAAAGCACCCAAGCGGCTTACACTCCTAGCAATCAGTCTCTATCAGCATACAGTAAATCCCCCCCAAGAACGAGACAGAGGTCCGTGTTGAGGGTCAAGCAGTGGTCTGTTTTACTGAGGGCTACCTGCCCAGTATTTATGCAGGTCTCCCACCTGGTGGACACTCCCCAAGGGGACCAAATGGGAGACTGTGACACAGGACAGACATGAACCAATTACAGACACACAGAGGTAAAACATCCCCACAATCCATCCTAACTTCCCACCCTCTGTCCTGGAGATAATTGGGAAGTAATCCAATTGTCTCCAAGGACAGAGGCAAAACTCCATTACCCAAATGGCTACAACAAAACACTAAAATACAACAAAACACACAATATTACATTTGTCACACAAAATATATACATGTAACCCATCCCCAGATAGCTGGGATCTGAGCGCACAAAAGTACCGAATAGCGCTCAGATCAGGGGCGGACTGAGAGCCTTTGGGGCCCCCGGGCAAAATTAGATCCCAGGCCCTTTGAAGGCCAAATATATGTGCATTAAATAAATGTTAAATATAATTCATAATACGGCATTTCTTTGGATGTGTATATTGTGAAGACCTGTGTATCAATGCATGTTTGTATTTGAGTCTGTGTGAATGCACTTGTGCATGTCTGGATGACTACATATGCCTTTTTATATATAGTGTCTGTGTGAATGCATATGTGACAGGTGACAGAGTGTGTGAGGGAGAAGGTGACAGGTGGAAGAGTGTGGGAGGTTGTGACAGGTGGCAGAGTGAGGGGGTACCTGGTGGCAGAGTGAGGGAGGGAGGGGTTGAGTGGAGGCAGAGTGAGGGGGAGACACAGTGAGTGGGGGTGACTGGCGACAGAGTGAGGGACTAGTGACAGAGTGAGGGAATGGGTGACTAGTGGCAGAGTGAGGGAGGGAAGGGGTGACTAGTGACAGAGAGAGAGGATGACTGGTGACAGAGTGAGGGGGGGTGACTGTCACTAGTCACCCCATCCCTCTCTCTGTCACTAGTCACTCCCTCCCTAACTCTGTCACTGTGTCACCCGCTCCCTCACTCTGTCACTAGTCACCCCCTTCCTCCCTCTGTCACTAGTCACCCCCTCCCTCACTCTGTCACTAATCACCCCCTGTCCCTAGTCACCCCCTCCCTCTCTCTGTCGCTAGTCACCCCATCCCTCTCTCTGTCACTGTGAAGGAAGGAAGGGGTGACTGGTGACAGTGAGGGGATGACTGGTGACAGAGTGAGGGAAGGGATGACTAGTGGCAGAGTGAGGGAAGGAAGGGATGACTGGTGACAGAGAGAGGAAGGGGGTGACACAGTGAAGGAGGTGGTGACTGTCACTAGTCACCCCATCCCTCCCTCTGTCACTAATCACCACCTCCCTCACTCTGTCACTAGTCACCCCTCTCCTCCCTCTCTCTGTCACTAGTCACACCCTGCCTCACTGTCACTAGTCACATCCTCCCTCACTGTCACTAGTCACCCCCTTCCTCACTGTCACTAGTCACCCCCTCCCTCTCTCTGTCACTAGTCACACCCTCCCTCTCTCTGTCACTAGTCACACCCTCGCTCACTCTGTCACTAGAGTGAGAGGGTTACTAGTGACAGAGTGAGGGGGTGACTAGGGACAGTGTGAGGGAAGGGATGATTAGTGGCAGAGTGAGGGAAGGAAGGGATGACTAGTGACAGAGTGAGGGAAGGAAGGGATGACTAGTGACAGAGTGAGGGAAGGAAGGGATGACTAGTGACAGAGTGAGGGAAGGAAGGGGTGACTAGTGACAGAGTGAGGGGATGACTGGTGACAGAGTGAGGGGATGACTGGTGACAGAGTGAGGGGGGGAGTGGGTGACCAGTGACAGAGTGAGGGAGGTGGTGACTGTCACTAGTCACCACCTCCCTCACTCTGTCCCTAGTCACCCCTTCCCTCCCTAACTCTGTCACTAGTCACCACTTCCCTCCCTAACTCTGTCACTAGTCACGCCCTCCCTCACTGTCACTAGAGTGAGGGGGTGACTAGTGATAGAGTGAGGGAGGTGGTGACTGTCACTAGTCACCACCTCCCTCTGTCACTACTCCCTCCCTCCTTCTGTCACTAGTCACCCCCTTGGTCCCTTACTCTGTCACTAGTCACCCCCTAACTCACTCTGTCACTAGTCATCCTCCTAACTCACTCTGTCACCAGTCACCCCTTCCTTCCCTCACTCTGCCACCAGTCATCCCCTCACTCTAGTGACAGAGTGAGGGAGGGGGTGACTAGTGACAGTGAGGGGGGTGACTAGTGACAGTGAGGGGGGGTGGAGGGTGACTAGTGACAGTGGGGGAGGGTGACTAGTGACAGTGAGAGGGGGGTAACAAGTGACAGTGGGGGGGGTGGAGGGTGACTAGTGACAGTGGGGGGGAGGGTGACTAGTGACAGTGGGGAGGGTGGAAGTGACTAGTGACACAGTGGGGTGGAGGTGACTAGTGACAGTGGGGAGGTGGAAGGTGACTAGTGACAGTGGGGAGGGTGGAAGGTGACTAGTGACAGTGAGGGGGTGGAGGTGACTAGTGACAGTGGGGGAGGTGGAGGGTGACTAGTGACAGTGGGGGTGGAGGGTGACAGTGACAGTGGGGGGTGGAGGGTGACTAGTGACAGTGAGAGGGGGGTGGAGGGTGACTAGTGACAGTGAGAGGGTGGAGGGTGACTAGTGACAGTGGGGAGAGGTGGAGGGTACTAGTGACAGTGAGAGGGGTGGGGTGACTAGTGACAGTGAGAGGGGGTGGAGGGTGACTAGTGACAGAGTGAGGGAGGGTGTGACTAGTGACAGAGTGCGGGAGAGGGTAACTAGTGACAGTGAGGGGGGGTGGAGGGTGACTAGTGACAGTGGGGGAGGGTGGAGGGTGACTAGTGACAGTGAGGGGGGTGGAGGGTGACTAGTGACAGTGAGAGGGGGTGGAGGGTGACTAGTGACAGTGGGGGAGGGTGGAGGGTGACTAGTGACAGTGAGGTGGGAAGGGGGACTATCTCCTACCTGTGTCTCTGCTCCCTCTGGTCTCCCTGGCTGCAGCTCCTTTCCCTCGGGCTCTGTGTGAGAGGCGAGTACAGGAAGTGATGTCACTTCCTGGCCCCGCCTCTCCCATCACACAGAGCACCGCGCGGGATAGGGAGAAGGAGACCTGGCAGAGAGGGAGAGGAGGTGAAGCCGCCAGGTCTCATGGGGGGTGGATTTAGAGAGCGGTAGGTTGTGGGGCCCTGCGCTGCATCAGGGGCCCCACAACCTATCAATTAAATAGTTTAATTTTATTAATTTTACAGTTCCAGTTGGAGAGATCTCTGATCTCTCCAGCTGGAGCATGGCTGTGCGGCCGGGCCCCTGACTGCCTCGGGCCCTCGGTCCGTGACCGAAGTGCCCGAGTGGTCAGTCCGCCCCTGGCTTAGATCCTATGCACACAGTCCAATCGCCGTGTTGTTAAGAGTGTTCACAAAGTCTGTTCTCCATATGAATAGACTCCACGGGATGGCTATCTGGGGTAATGCTGTTCATACGGTTTAAACTACCGAATGAACAGGCATCCGGTTAAATGACTGAATGCAGAAGTAAGGAGGCTGACGGCTCAGCGGTGTTCGCGCACATAAGTGTCCGTTTACAGTTCCATAGTTTGGGCGCTAAACACCGCTGGTCGTTCGGGACTTTAAAATGGCCGCCGCCACGTGTTCGGCAACCGAACAAAGGCCACCCAGCATTCGTCAATTAAGTTGCGGTTAACCGCAGCTTCTGGGAGGTAAATTGCCGACACACTCCAGCTCTCAGGTGGTCCAGTCATTCGTGCGTTAGTTCGGTAGATTGAATCTACCAATCGCCGGGCAGAAAGGCACGAATAAGCCTTTTCTGCCAGGGAAAAGAAGGCTTTTAACATGGGGCCATAGTCCAAAGATAACAGGCGAGCAACCAGGCTTCTCCAATGTAATGTGGCGAGATTGGTCTCGTCACATAACTATTCACAAAAGGCCATAATAAATACAGGATCTCATATCACTGCAGAGGATGAAGACGGTCCTACTTAGCACCTCAGACTACGTAGTTACAGAATTTATTTTCTTTACGTAATTACATAGTTGATTGGGTTGCTAAAAAGACTAAAGTCCATCAAGTTCAACCCTGAACCCCATTCTTTTATGCTGTTGACCCAAAAGAAGGCAAAAAAACACAAACTAAATTGCACCTATTTCCAAGAATGCCACAAAAAGAGGAACGTTTATTTTTGACTCCATAATGGCAGATTTCTCCATGGATCCGGTTCACATAAATAGCAAATATATCCTTAAAAAAAAAGTCTTTATATTTTTTTTACATTTTTTTTTGTGTGCAAAAACAAACACATCCAAGTAAACGAAAGAAGTAAATTCATCTGTAAACGAATTAGAAACGTCTTTAAGCAGAGAGTTCCACATCAGTAATGTCCTTACTGTAAAGAAGCCTTTCCTCTGCTGTAATGAAAGCTACTTTCATCCAGTCTCAATGGGTGACCTTGTCTGTTGTATATTCCTGCTAACGAACACGTTAGCACCTTGTGGTTTGTGCAGACTCTGTATATATTTGTATAATGCTAAATGACAGAAAGCCATGGGAATCAGGGAGTTCATGCTCAGAAGTGAATTCCCATCTAATCTTACTATGACAAGGATTGATCTACACACACACACACACACACACACACACACACACACACACACACTAACCAATGCTTAGCAAACAGATTACAGCTGACTGGTAGGGGGATGAGATAGGGGGAGGTAAATTTACAGTGCTCATCCTGAATCCTGACCAGCAAAATATGGAAAAGGTTAGTAAAATGTAATCCCAGGAGCAGCGGCTACATGTAGAACCACTGTGACTGGAGAAAACAAACTAACCAAGGGCCATGTAGCCAGAGGATCAGTGTAAACAAAAAAACAACCGAGGATCAGTGTAAACAAAAAACTAACAGAGGATCAGTGTAAACAAAAAACCAACCGAGGATCAGTGTAAACAAAAAACCAACCGAGGATCAGTGTAAACAAAAAACCAACCGAGGATCAGTGTAACCAAAAAACCAACCGAGGATCAGTGTAACCAAAAAACCAACCGAGGATCAGTGTAACCAAAAAACCAACCGAGGATCAGTGTAACCAAAAAGCCAACCGAGGATCAGTGTAAACAAAAAACAGAGGATCAGTGTAAACACAAAAAAAAAATAACCAAGGGTCAAAAAACCAACCGAGGATCAGTGTAACCAAAAAACCAACCGAGGATCAGTGTAACCAAAAAACCAACCGAGGATCAGTGTAACCAAAAAACCAACCGAGGATCAGTGTAAACAAAAAACAAAAACTAACCAAGGGTCAAGAAGTCAGTGTGAACAGAAAGTAACCAAAGGTAAAGTAAAGTAATGAATAGATGGTATCTGGTTCCAACGAGACTGGCTAAAATATATAGCTCTGCTTCCCCACTTTGCTGGAGATGCAATAGACAACTTGGATCCTTTATCCACATCTGTTGGGACTGCATCAGAATTAAAAATAAATGGAAAGAGGCTTTTGTAGAACTAGAAATTCTGTTAACTAAACCTATTCCTAAAGCCCCAGAAAACGATATTTTGCACTTGAATATAAACCAACTGCAAAAGAAAGAGGCATTTATTTATATTCATTTTATGATCGCTGTGAAAATTCTTATTGCCCATTGTGGCAAACCTAGCCACTTTTAGGTTACTGGACTGTATCTGCAAAAGGTTGTCTGTAATAGCCGCTGGACTGTTATATTTTAATGTCTGCCTGTACTGCTATGTCTTAGAGCATGCTAGCAGCCGAAAGCCGCTAGCATTCATGTATTCGTTTCACGAACAGGGACTTTACCGGCTGTTCGTGAAACAAATGAACTACCACCTAGTAGCCCACACACAGAGGGTCGTGTGGCAACCATTAACCGATTGCAACATTGTTGCAATCTGTAAATAAAGACTTTCCTAGGTGGCCGGTGGTCGGCCATCTTGGATCCTTTGTTTCACCAGCGGTGTTTGGTCGTCGAGCGCGTGGAGCTGAAATCGGCTACTTGACAGCGCGAACACCGCTGGGCTTCTAGGCAGTTCGGGAGCTCTGGTCTTTCACTATTCTGGTTCCCCATCGGTGTTCGGTATTTTTGGGCGAACATATTGTTAAAGTATATTTCGTGCGGCGTTTGGTTATTTATGCTGGGATCTGAGCGGTATTCTCACGAAATGTGCACTCAGACTCCAGCTATCTACCAAACGTCCATTCGTTTAAATAAAGTGAATGATGGCAAAGTTATGTATTTAAATGTAAAATGCCGGTTCTGCTGCAAGTAGGGATAATCCACTTAACGGTATATTCCAGTGGGAGTATCCCTCTCGTCCAGCAGTGCCTGATGGGAGAAATGTCCGGATTGTTAAGTCCCCATGTAGTCCCCTACTGTATTACCCCTGCTATGTCAGTAGGGAAACCCCTTGCATGGTGACTTGCATAAATACTGGAGCTGTGAATAAAAGCTCAGTTGACTCCCAGAACTGTGTTTCGTTCGGTTACTAGGGGGATTTGGGATATTGCCTTACTTTTCAGCGCTTTACTTTGGATTACCTTCTGTACCAGCGGAGATCGTGGAATTTAATATTGCAGCTCCGCTACACCTATAACTGGAAATCTTTAAATACTTTTACATTAGCTAATCTTAACTCACAGGTGCTGTATCAGTTAAATATGGAAGCATTATTATATAGATCTAAAGGACTAGCTCCTAAGAAATACCTGGAGTGCGAAAATTGGATAAGGAACGTTAACGATCTCTCTGCTAATCAGATCCGGTGGTAACTTCTTTAAAGAAACACTATAGTCACCTAAATTACTTTAGCTAAATAAAGCAGTTTTAGTGTATATATCAGTGATGGCGAACCTTTTTGAGCCCGAGTGCCCAAACCGTAATACATGCCAATTTTTTTCCCCTCAAAGTGCCAAAACTGCAATTAAACCTGAATACTGAGGTTTAAGTTTAGAAAAAACAACTCATACAGTTGTCCGAACTAATTAACATCTCTGTGTGTGTATTAAGCAGTTTGTGTGTGCGCCCGGCAGTCTGTCTGTATGTGTATTTAGCAGCCTGTCTGTATTTAGCAGACTGCTGAATACACACACAGACTGCTGAGTACACAGTCTGGTAAATACACACACACAGACTGCTAAATACACACACACAGACAGACTGCTGAGTGTACACACACACAGACGGCTAAATACACACACTACATTGAGGGGTACAGTGTATGTTTGTGTGTGGGGTGATGTGTTTGTGTGTAGGGTGATGTGTGTGTGGGTGGGGTGATGTGTGTGGGGGGGTGATGTGTGTGTGTTTGTGTGGGGTGATATGTGTAGGGCAGGGGTGCTGTGTGTATGTCGTGCCCTCTCTCCCACCCCCCACTGTTTTCTTTCCCCCATCCCTCCCTCATTTTTTTTCTCCCATCCCACACTCAGTTTTCTCCCCCCATACCTCCCTCAGTTCCTCCCCCCTACCTCAGTTCCCCCATCTCTCCCTCAGTTTCCCCCATACCTCCCTCAGTCCCCCCATACCTCAGTTCCCCCCATTCCTCCCTCAGTCCCCCCCCCCATACCTCCCTCAGTCCCCTCCCCCCATACCTCCCTCAGTCCCCTCCCCCATACCTGTGGCGAAACCGGCCTCGCCCGCGTGTCCTTGGAGGGGCTGCTTCCCGCCTCTTGCCTTTGGACTATGGACCAGACTTTATGTGAATGTGTTAACCCAGATAGCTATGCCATGGGGCCCATTCGTGTAGTTAAAGACTTCGGCTCCATGGCAATTGAACTGTGTGAATAGGATCTGAGCGCTATTCGGTAGTTTTGTGCGCTCAGATCCCAGCTATCTGGGGATATGTGACATGTCTGTGTTTTATGTATAAAATGTGACTTTGTGTATTTTATAATATTTTAATGCTTTGTGCTCACCATGTGCATAATGGAGTCTTGTGTCTGTCCTGGGAGATAATTGAATTACTTCTCAATTCAATCTCCAGGATAGAAGACTCTGAAACTGGTTTGGGCCCAAAGCCATGCTTCATTTAGTCAAAGGACTTTCCCTTAACTTTTGAACCCCTGGTCTGATTCGTGCCATTTTTTAATATGTTGTTCCCCTGAATGGATTGATTATGAAAATGTATGTTTTATGTTTGTGACATGTATATTTTAGAAGTTATAAATATTGTGTAAAACTGTATTCCTCTGCCGGTGATAATGAGATTACCCATTGTGTTCAGTAATCATATCACAGGCAGAGGGGAGGAGTTTGTGTGGGAGTGTCTGGGTGTATTGTACGGATTGATTGGTTGTTTTGTAAAACCCTGTGGGTGGTCCTATCTAAGGGAAACCTGCATAAAAGAAGGTTCTTTTGGTGCCAGTAAACAGGTTCTGCTTGACCTCAAAACGAAGTGTTGTCTCGTTATTGGGGGAATTGGATTGAATGCTGATTGCCAAGAGTGTAAGCTGATTGTATACTTTTCCTGTTCAACTGCTTACAGCATTCATATGCTTGAGAGCATTCATATGCTTCTCCGGTTCGGTGATTGTGGTGTCTGCCAGAGTGCTTGGAGTCTTCAGGAAGCGCTAGGAGCATCCTTCATCCCTAGCAGTCAAACTGGAACAGCATACAATAAATCCTCCCCCAATAATGAGACGACACTTCACTTTGAGGGTTAAGCAGGAACTGACTGTACTGGCACATGCAGCCTCTTTTATTCCCAATCCACAAACATAGTACTGCCCACAGGGTTTTACAGAACAACCAATCAATCTGTACAATACACACAGACACTCCCACACAAAATCCTCCCCTCTGCCTGTAATACAATTACCTTACACAATGGGTAATCTAATTATCACAGAAAGAGAAATACAGTTTCATAAAAAACATCACAGGGACCCCAAAACATGCAATAACCCCATAAAAGTATATCCTTGGAACCGGGGGATCTGGGTGAACCACATATCCGAAATTCACCCAGATCCGTTCAGTACTTTGGAAGATACAGTTTAATGCAGATTCTGCAGAACATATACAGGCTAAATGAAAAACAATCACTGCATAATGTGTCCCCTGCTGTATAGTCCAAAACCACTGCACGATGTCTCTGTGCACCAAATACCGGCGAGATGGCACCGTGTTGAAAAGTCCAAACAGTGTCTGTGAGTTAAAATGGCCACCATCCATTGTTCTTACCATGTGCTTCATCCACTGTTCTCACCATGTGCCTCTGATACAGGAAATGGTGGCCACCCAGTAACTCCACAGTATGTCCCCAGATGGTTCTTAAAGGGCCAGCAGCAGCACAACACAAATCCCTTATGCCCAAATCATGTCTTTAAAGGGCAATACATCCCAGGGGCCATAGTCACATGGCAGGAGGCTGGCAATCAGTATAAACAAAAACTAACCAAGGGTCAGGAAGCCGGGGGTCAGTTCAAACAGAAACTAACCAATGGTCAGGGAGCCAGGGTCTGTGTAAACTAAAACTAACCAAAGGTCAGGGAGCCAGAGTGTGGCAAACCTGGCCACTTAAGAAATGTATGTATGTAAAAATGTTTAATTTATTTCCCCTTCTATTACATGTATATGTATAGAGCGTTCGTGTGCTTGTAGCATACGAATGCCGGCAGCGTTCCGCTTGGAGTTCCACGAACAGTGATTTTTAACACTGTTCGTGAAACGAACCAACTAACGAATGGGAGACCACACAACGGGGGTCGTGTGTCTCCCATTAACTAGTGCAACAATGTATCTGTAACGGATCACCTGGCACCCCGACTGGGTACCTCCGTTGAAGGATGCTCCTAGCGCTTCCTGAGGACTCCAAGCACTGCAGCAGACACCACAACCACCGAACCGGAGAAGCATATGAATGCTGTAAGCAGCTGAACAGGAAAAGCATACAATCAGTTTACACTCTTGGCAATCAGCATTCAATCCAATTCCCCCAATAACGAGACAACACTTCGTTTTGAGGTCAAGCAGAAGCTGTTTACTGGCACCAAAAGAACCTTCTTTTAAGCAGGTTTCCCTTAGATAGGACCACCCACAGGGTTTTACAAAACAAACACATGCAATACACTCAGACACTCCCACACAAAATCCTCCCCTCTGCCTGTGATACAATTACCTTACACAATGGGTAATGTAATTATCACCGGCAGAGAAATACAGTTTTTCCACATTATTTATAACTTGAAAAGTATGCATCACATTCACATTTACAGTTGCAGAATCAGCATACTCCAAATACAAACATATGCCAAAATCATCCAAATTGGTCCATTGGTTCAAAAGATAGATCGTAGTCCTTTGTGACCAAATGAAGCATGGCTTTACTGCCCAAAACCAGTAATCCAATTATCTCCAAGGACAGAAGCAAAACTCCATTGAACACATGGCAGCAAAAGACAATAAAAACACATAAAAATATATAACTGTGCAGCCATTGCACAAAACAGGTACATTCAACATATCCCCAGATAGCTTAGGTCTGAGCGCACATTATTACTGAATGGCGCTCAGAGCACACACATACAATTCAATTGCCATGGAGCCAAAGTCTTTCCCATAGTCTTTCATTATACGAATGGGCTCCATGGCATAGCTATATGGGGTATCACCGCTCAAACAGGGCCAGCACTGAATGACCCGGCTTTCGTGTCCTCGCAGGGGAAAAATCAAGCGTTTCAACATGGGGCCATAGTCTAAAGGCAGCAGGTGAGCAACCAGGCTTCTCCAGTGCATAGTGGCGAGGTTGGTTCCACCACAGTATCTCCAGTTTATTAATGGGTTTCGTGGGTGGAGGCAGCAAGACTTGGTCGTCAAGCGTCTAGAACTAAAATCGAACACTCGACTTCGCGAACACCGGTCAAACTTCGTAAACGCATGCTTCCTTTTCCCGACCAACAAGGAGAGCGCTCTTCGGTAGTTTTCTTCCCATGAACTAGGGGAACAAACACCACTATGAGCCAGGGGGAACTGTTCGGGGATTTTTTCAGTTTACAGTTTTTCCGAAATAGACCGACCGCACAACCTGAACTCATGGAACTATTTCTGGGCAAGAGCCTCGTGTGCGGTCGGTCAAACTAAGACTTCAATGAAACTTCTAAACCCCTGAACTGATCTGGGTGATTTTTGGATATGTTGGTCACCCAGATCAGGGCTATCAGGGAATGTAACATTAATGGGGATTTTATGTGTTTTGGGGTACTTTTCAAGTTTTGTGGAAAATTAGTTTTTTCTGCCTAGGGATAATTGAGTTATTACAGTATCGGACTCTATCTCCCATGCAGAGAGGAGGGATTGTATGTTTGTTATGGGAGTGTCATACTTTGTTACCCTGTTGTTATTGGTTTGTAACTTTGTGTTGGAGTCCCCTACACGGTCCATGTGGTAGTACCCCTTGCATTGGGACTTGGATAAAAGCCAGGGTGGCACCATTAAAATCATTCCTGTTACACCCTTCATCTAGTTTCAACTGATGTTTGGGTGCCTGTCCACTTTGCTGGGAGAATACACTTGGAAGGCTGACATTCGTATGGAGAATCGTTCGAATCAACACCCGAACTGCGATCTATAATGAGAAAATAGGCGAACGCGTAATCGATTATACTAGCGTTCGTTACAGACGTAGATCATAAACCTCCTTCCTCTTTGACAGTTAGTACGGATCTTCTGCTGAGCACAGGATCCTGACAGATCAGACTACACAAGAAATACATAACATGAAGAAAGACGCAGAAGAAATAAATGGTCCGCTGATCAACGAATAGAAGTCATCGCATTTCTTAATAAATGCTCTGTGACCTATATTTAGGGCTTTTAATAAAATAATTAATAATAATGAGAGGCTAATTTGCAAGCCATTTTTCCAATGCACTTCACATAACACTTCAAGCATTACACTAGATTAACATCATTCACTCTAAATATGAATAGAACATTTCATGCATCAGAGAACATACATTGTACGTGAATTATCCAACGACAGAGGCTGCTCGCTGACCCCTACACACAGAACTACCTTCCATATTATGTGCCACGGCTTATAGAATACTCTGTGAACCCCAATAAAATACCATGTACCCACCTATAGAATGCTCTGTGAACCCCCAATACAATACCCTGTATCCAC